ATGAGCACAGAAGTCCCCATGTTTTCATAGAATCACAGAATAATGCAGCACAGAAGGAAGCCATTCGGCCCATCGTGTTTGTGCCGGCTTTTTTAAAAGAGCTATCCAAATCAATCCCACTCCCCCGCTCTCTCCCCAAAGCCCTGCAAACACTTCACATGGAGACCTGTAGCTCAGTGGCGAGAGACCTGGGTTTAATTCCCGAGTGGGGCAAAATGTTGGGCAAGTTTCCTTACTCCACAAGCCTAGCAGGAGGTAGGAACCCGGTCGTTAGTCGATTGGCAGATGGCTATTCCGGAGGTAGTAACAACAACAATAACTTGCATTTATATAGCATCCTCCACGCCGGAGCTTAATATTGGTGGAGCCCGAGGCTGAGCCAGAGGGAGAGGGAAATGACTGTAGGCCTGATCAAAGAGGAAGGTCTTCAGGTGCAACCTGAAGATGGGGAAGGAGGGGGTGAGGCAAAGGGGTTGAGGGAGGGAGTTCCAAAGTTTCGGGGTGTAGTGGCTGAAGGCATGGCGGCCGATGGTGGAGCGGAGGTTTGGGGGGACACGGAGGAGGCCGGATCCAGTAGGCAGCGGGTACTACTGTGGGGAGAGAGGAAGTTAGAGAGATAGGGGCGGGTGCCAAGGAATGGAGGCAGTGGAGTTTGGCCAGGACTGGAGTAATCGGGGTACAAGGTTTGGTGCGTGTGAGAATGCGGGCGGTGGAGTTTTGAATGAGCTGAATTTTGTGAACATTGGAGGAGGGGAGATCAGCGAGGAGGGCGTTAGTGTAGTCCAGCCGAGAGGTGACAAAGGCAGGGACAAGGGTTGGGCAGGTTTTGGGGTGAAGTATTGTCAGAGACGGGCAATATGGCGGAGCTGGATGAAAGTAGTGCTCATCAGGGACCGGATGTGGGGGAGTTGAGGATAACTGGAGATCGAATCTGACTGCCTAAGTTTTAAGGACGAGGTCAGGTAGGTTGATGAGGTCGGTACCATGGGACAGAAGACATTGGTGGGAGCTAAAGAGTATGCCTTCTGTCTTGTTGACGTTTAACTGCAGGAAATTTGCACTCATCCAGCTGTTGATGTCCGACAGACAAGCTGACAGAACATCACGGGACTGGTGGTCACAGCTGGAGGTAGAAAAGTAGGGTTAAGTGTCATCCGCATCCATGTCTGCAGATGACATCACCGAGAGGAAGCACATGGATGAGGAAGAGAAGGGGGCCAAGGGTGGATCCCTGGGGTACCCCACAGGTGACCGGGTGGAAGCGAGAAGAAAAGCCATTTGCAGAAATGTAGTGCTGGCTGTTTGTAAGGTAGGACTCGAACCAAATGAGTGCAGTCCCACTGAGGTGGATGATGGAGGACAGGTGGTGGAGGAAGATGGCGTGATCGACTGTCGAACGCGGCGGAGAAGTCCAGGAGGACAAGGAGGCAGAGGGAGCCCTGGTCATAGACAGAGAGGATATTGTTTGTGACTTGCACGAGCGCTGTCTGTGTACTGTGGGCAGTCAGGGCGGAAACCGGACTGGAGGGGTTCGGGTAGGGTGTGGAAGGAGAGGTGTGCTCGAAGTTGGTTGGCAATAACATATTCCAGAGCTTTGGCAAGGAAGGGCAGGTTTGAGATAGGGTGGTAGGTGCCGAGGTTGGAGGGATCGAGGATAGCTTTTTTAAGGAGGGGGGGTCCTGTGGAGTCCTGTAACTCAGTGGTTAGAGCACTCGCTTTGCAAGCAAAACACCTGAGTTCAATTCCAGGCACAGGGCGAAACCTTGGGCAAGTTTCCTTACTCCACACAGAGCCTAATAATAATCCCTCCAAAACAAAACAATAATAAATTGGTCATTTTCAATCCACGACTGTTTGTGGGACACTGCTGTGCACAATTGGCTGCCGCGTTCGCCCACAAATATACAGTCAATTCACTTTACAGTCTATTCTGTGAAGCGCTTTGAGACGTTGAGAAGACGTGAAAAGCGCTATATCAAATGCAAGGATTATTATTATCATTATTATTATGATCACGGTTTTGAGGGCGAGTGGGACTGATCCTGAGGTGAGAGACTATCAGCAGTGGGCAGAGGAGGGGAATCTGGGTGATTAGCAGTTGGGTGGGGAGGGGATCAAGACAGCAGGTGATGGGTTTCATTGTGGTGATGATGGATGAGAGGGAGGAAGGAGAGATGGGGGCAAATGAATGTAGGATGGGGGCCGTGGTAGGAGCTGAGGGCAGGGTGGGTGAGGGAGGCAGAATGTGGGTGGTGGTAGGCGACACGGGGCAGAAGGATGAAGCTGCCAGGCGGATGTTGTCAATTTTAGAGGTAAGGAAGTCCATGACTTCTTCGCACTTGGAGTTGGATGTGATGATTGAGGGGTTTGAGGGGACACCCGGAGGAGGTGATGGGCGGTGGAGAACAGGATTTTGGAATTAGTGTTGACCTCCAGTATGATGTTTGTGTAGTGCGCAGTTTTTGCTTGCGACAGGGAGCAGCGGTAGGTCTGAAGATGTTCGACCCACAGCTGGTGGTGAATCATGAGGCTGGTTTTCTGCCACCTGCGCTCGAGTAGCCGGGTTTGGTATTTTAAGGAGCGGAGATGGCTGTTGTACCAGGAGGAGCAGGTAGGTTTGGAGATGGTCCTGGATTTCAGGGGGATGAAGGAGTTGAAGGTGGAGGAGAGGTGATCATGGAACAGCTTGATGTGGAAGGCCAGAGGGATAGGAGGTCTGAGGATGAGAGGGCCTTTGTGAGGGTATTGGTGGGAAGCCTTTTCCATGGGCGGAAAAGTATAGTTAAGGGCGTGATGGAGGAGAGAGGGATGCGAGAGGAGAGGGAGGTGAGGAAGTTGTCCGAGATGGCCTTGTCCGTGATGCACAGGTCGGAAATGTCAAGGCCATTTGTGATAACGAGGTCAAGGGGGTGGCCATGGTTGTGGGTCGGTGAGTTGATGTAGAGGGTGAGGTTCAGGGAAGAGAGGAGGGCAGTGAAGTCTGAGGACGTGGTGCAAGGTGAGTTTAGGTGGAGGATGAAGTCACCCATTATGAGCAGGCGTTCTGAGCAGAGGGACAGGGAGAAGAGCAGAGATATTGGAGAGGAAGGAGCCAGGAGGTTTTGGGGGGGGCGGTATACCAGGAGAATTTTGAGTGAGAAAGAGGAGGGATGGTAGAGGGTGAAGGGGCTCAAATAAGGAGAAGCAGCCAGAGGAATAAAGGGATAGACCGAGGGAAGCTTGGGAGATAAGGACCACCCCGACGCTGCGTTAGTTTGGGCGAGGGATGTGGTGGAAGGTGTAGCCAGGAGGGGAGGCTTCAACTAGGGGGACGGAGTCACTGGGGAAGAGCCAGGTTTCTGGAAGCCCAAGAATATCCATGTGCTCATCCAGGATGAGGTCAATGACAGTGAGGGCTTCAGTGAAGAAGGGAAATGCGTATGGGTTTGCTGGTGTTGGGGTGGGATGGAGGAAAGAGTGGCCTGGAGAGGATTTGGGGTTGTAGGGGAGAGATGACCGTGGAGTTTGAGGAAGGGGGAGAGTTGGAGAGGGTATGGGTGAGGGAGGGGGAAGGGGTGCTTGCCTTTCGGAGATGGTTGGTGCGGAGAGAGCGAGTGATGGGACAGTTGGGGTGGATGCTCTGGGACAACCATCGCTGGGAGCCACGATGGACCCAGCGGAGGATGTCCAGTCTGGAGCAGAGGGAGATAATGGTGGAGTCGAGGAGAGAAGGAAGGCGGGGAGGGCGGTGGGAGAGAAGGACACAGGGGGAGTAGCGGATGGGTGGGGTAGGAGGAGGAGCATTTCCAGGGGGTGCGGCTCAGGTCGGGGCGGGAGCCAAAATGTGCACGGGGAGACCAGGAGAGAGTGATCAGCCCGCGGGCTACAGGAGACAGCGCAGGGTAGGGAGGACGGTCATGGCTTAGGTGCCAGAGACCGGGAGGGAAGGGAGGACAAGATAGCAGAAGGATAATTTAGTGTACTTACCCTTCCCTGGCGGATTTGCACCTGGCTAATAATTCCTTCAAAAAAATAATAATAATAAATCGGTCACTCAATCCACGGCTGTTTGTGGGACGCCGCTGTGCACGATTGGCCGCCCACAAAATATCCAGTCAATTCACTTTGCAGTATATCCCGTGAAGCGCTTTGAGACGTCTCGAAGACGTGATAAGGTGCTGTATCAAATGCAAGGATTATTATTATTGTATGTTGAGTCCTGTAGCTCAGTGGTTCGAGCATTCGCCTCGCGAGCGAGAGGACCTGGGTTCGATTCCCGGGCAGGGAGAAACATCAGGCAGGTTTGCCTTACTCCACACACACGCCTCTGCTTACCTCGCAGTACGTCGGAATCCAAGTTGTTCGTCGATTGCGCCTTGGGACGTCCTCCCGACGTGAAAGGCGCCCTCTAGGCAGGGCGAAACCTTGGGCAAGTTTCCTTACTCCACACGCCTAATAATAATCCCTCCAAAAAAAAACCAAAAACAATAATAAAATTGGTCATTTTCAATCTACGACTGTTTGTGGGACATTGCTGTGCGCAATTGGCTGCCGCGTTCGCCCACAAATAAACAGTCAATTCACTTTATAGTGTGTTCTGTGAAGCGCTTTGGGACGTCCTCCTGACGTGAAAAGCGCTATATCAAATGCAAGGATTATTATTATTATTATTATTATTATTAAATGAAATCTTGTTGTTGTTGTTGTTGTTGTTGTTGATTGGCGGTTCGCTCTGGAAGACGCAGGAAGGCGTTGCATCAAATGCAAGGATTATTCTGATGATGATGATGATGATATGTGCTCGTCTCCTATACTGGACTGGTGACTGATGTCTGCTCTTACCAACAGGGGGTGTCAATCAATAAATTATCTTGAGGAAAGGTTTTTTAAGGTTTAAAACCCGCCTCCTTTTTTTTTGGTCTCTTTCCTGGCCAATGGCAGTTTTATGTGTGTGTGTGTGTGTGTGTGGGAAGGGGGTTCTCCTCTTATTAGTAAGTCTCAGATCAGAGTTGTAGGGGGGGGTGGGGGGAGGTGAGTTTGGGGGGTGAATAAGATGGGGCTCTCACTTAATGCCAATACTTGACCCCATGGGATCCCCAGAGCTTCTTGTGCTCTCTGCAAAAACGCTTCCTCTTCGATCTGTCCATTTCCTCCTTTCTTCCCTCCCCAAATAATTACCAGTTTGCTTTCTTGCAAAGAGAATGCCATTGCACTGGAGATCCTAAAGCAAGTTGCTTTGCAACCCCCCCCCCCCCCCCACCCCTCACCCCATCTTCTCTCCACTCTCCTCTCTCTCCTCCTCCTCCTCCTCCTTCTCTCCACTCTCCCTCTCTTCTCATAGTTTCAGAGCAGTTTCAAAGGGAAAAAAGAGGTACAGGTTATTGGAGCTCACAGCTGTGAGAGGGAGAGAAGATTCAGGTTGTCTTGTTAACAGCTCTGCAAACCTGTTGGCAATGCAGCATCCTTGAATGTTCCTTCTTCACCTCCCTGGTTGGCTTGTGGGGTTTTCTTTCCTCTCTCTCTCTCTCTCTCTCTATCTCCCTTTCCCTCTGCCCCCACTTCCAAAAAAAAACTTGTCTATTTTGTTTTAATCCAGCAAGACTATACTTTTCCAACTGTTGTTGTTTTTATTCATCATCTCCATCCCAAAACCTCCCAACACTGACCCAAAACTCCCCTACGATGCTGAAGATCTTAACCAAAAAGTTCAGAGCTCAGGCGTTGAACGAGATCCAACCTTTCCAAGTCAAGGTGAGTAACTTAACTCTCTTTGCTTAAAAGTATTGGCTGAAACGATTTGTGTTTTTTTTTAATGGATATATATATGAATGGATGCAGTTCACGTAAAATACTCTGGTCAATTTCATTCTCTGCACTCTCTTTCCTTCTCAGTTTTTTTTAAAAAAAACAAACATTTGCAAGAATTTGGCTTAACTCTCCATGAAATCTTGCAGCACTAAATTTCTAGGGATTTCTCATTCCATTACAATATGCTTGTGTAATGTGTGTGTGTGTGTGTGTGTATATATGTGTGTGTGTATAGTTTCCAAATGCACTTTAACCTGATAAATGGTGAATGGGGTGGGGGAGAGGGGAAGTTTAATTTTGCAGAATTAGTTGCACAGGTTTCCTTAATGTTTCCACACTTGACTGCAGAAGTAGACGACATCCGAATAGCGTTCCCACTGTGATGGACTTCTGGTTATAGCAAGGAATTCCATTTGTGCAACTCGGATTTCGTTCTAAGGAATCCCATTGAGAAGCACTGCAGAATAAACCCCCCCCCCCCACCCCCACCTCTTCCGATATTTCGAGTTCAACCCGCGACTGTTTGCGGGACGCTGCTGGGCGCAATTGGCTGCCGCATTTCGCCCACAAAATACACAGCCCAGTCACTTTGCAGTATATTCTGCAAAGCGCTTTGAGGCGTCTCGAAGATGCGACAAGGCGCTGTGTCAAATTCAGCAGTATTATAATTGGTGGCTTGGTATAATGTGGTCACTGCCTGGGGCAAAGGGATCTTGTTGCATTGTGTTGCCTGTTTGATTGTAAATAACTCATTAGCTGCTGTGGTATTACCCACATTTCACACTTAGCGCAAATCCTGGGATTTAAGAGCGCTGTGGAGGCAAGTGAGTTCCGGCTGCTCAGGGACATGGAGAGGGTGTTGTTGATGTCAGCTTTTAGGGGGTAGGAGAGAAAATGCAGTAATTATGTTGAAACACTTGAACGCTCACCCTCAATCCCTCCGCCTTCCCCCCCATCTCCTTTTTCAAGGCTCGCCTGAAAATCGTCCTTTTCGACCGTGCTAACGGTTCCCTTCCCATCCCCCCCTTCCCCCGGCTCGGAGTCGGGCTCCGCCACTGTTAAGCACTCTCTAAGACGCTGCCTTGCTTGGAGGGAGTTTTATAAGTTGTTGTTGTTATGAATGCAATAATACTCATCATTTATACGGTCTGGAATTCACTGCCTGAAATAGTGGTGGAAGCAAATTCGATAATAGCTTTCAAAAGGGAATTGGATAAGTAGTTAGAAAGGAAAAAATGTGCGGGGCTACGGGATAAGAATGGGGGAGTGGGTCCAGTTTGAAGCTTAGTCAAAGAGCCGGCATGGGCCCGAAGGGCCGAATGGCCTCCTTCTGTGCTGTGATACTATGATTCTGTGATTTTTCTCACTGAAGCAATCTATTCAAAGATCCAGTGCAGACAAAATGGGCCAAATAACCTTCTGTATTGTAAATGTCTGGTTATAAACCCCTTTCCCTGCTGTATATTATAGTTATTTTATTTGTTATTATTTTTTCCCACACCAGTTACTATTTTTAGTCAAGTTTCCTTTAATTCCCTTCTTGATGACTTTTCCATTAAGGGTTGCATTAAACTGGGATGTAATATGTGCAAATGGGACCAACCAATGCTTTGTACAAATCTATCAGAAGCCCTTTTGGTCGTAGGATTAAACAACGTGTAAAAAATAAAGTTCTCACATTGTAACACGCCCTCATCTAGAAAACCACCAAATCCCTTATTAATTCTCTTCTGCTGTTGTCCAAAAGCAAACAGAACTTGATGAATCTGCTGAAAAGATACTCGTTTTGCAGTCAATTCACTTTGTACAAAAGTATATTTTGTGAAGTGCTTTGAGACGTCTTGAAGACATGATAAGGCGCGATATCAAATGCAAGGATTATTATTATACTTTAGAGCGTGTTTATTCACTGGGTCTGGAGTCACTCAACTCATTGAGCTAATTTGCAACCTTGGCGTTCTATTCTATCCTCAGCTTTCTTTCTTCCCAAATATCGGGTCCCTGAACAAGACTGCTTTTATGCTTTTATGCATCTTTGCCACATCCCCTGCCTCGATATCTATCTCACAGCTACCGAGGCAGGAATCCTCATTGACACATTCCTCACCATCAAATTTGACCATCAAATTTTAGCTGCTCGCAGCTTAACTTCCATTTTACCCCCATCTTTGCCAGCCTCCACTCGTAACCTGTCTCCTAGTGGATCAATATAAAGCTTCTGATCCTCACCTACAATTTGCTTCACGCCTTTGCATCTGCTTACCTTGTTCCCCTCTGCTTGTCAAACAGGTCTGCTGTGTGTACTCTGCCCCACTATCATAGGCATTATGCCCCCGTCCTTTGACACTCCCTCCCTCAACTCTCCCCCTTCCGCCCTCCTCCTGTCTCACTCCCTTTCTATCTCTCATCAAAAACTTCCTTAAAACCTGTCCCAGTGACTTTGCCTGTGGTCATTTCCCTCTTTCCCCTCCTCAACCCTGGTTGGTGTCCAGCACCATCTCTGTAAAGCACTTGGAGACATTATTCTACCTGAAGGGCTCTTTATAAAAACAAGTTCTTCTTATTTGGTACAGAACTGAGGGTCAGCATTCAATTCACACTTTCATCAACTTACAATGAAGCCTTTCATTTGCTAATGATTCCCCAGTTCCTCCCAACTCCCTACGTCACGTAATGTTGATTCAAGTTCCTGATATGGGTATGGTTTTGACTCCTTTTCCGTGACCATGACAATGTGGATTTCCCTCCATCCTCTCTTCATCCGATCAGTTCCTCCCTGCCTTCCTCTCCCTGATTGATCCAAGTGGGGACTTTCCTTTTAGAATAACCTTGGTCATTCACTTCCATGGGTGTTTGTGGGACATACCTGAGCCAAATTGGCTGCTGTGTTCACCTACAACTTCACTTTACGTGAAGCGCTTTGAGATGTCTCAAAGACGTGATAAGGTGCAATATCAAATGCAAGGATTATTCTTATTACAAATACAGTAAATCCTGGGAAGCGCTTTGAGTCGTCTTGAATGTCGTGAGAGGAAGTATATCAAATGAAAGGGTTATTATTATTATTATAGTAAACCAAATCAGATGCTGGGATTATTAAAAAGAATAGGAGCGATTTAAAGTGGCCCAGACACGTTTGCTTCTGTGCAAAAAATGCCTGTTTCTATTTCTGCAAAAATATTGTATTTTTAGACCCCGCTTCAGGCCCTGGGCCTTTATCTGATGCTTCGAATTTACAAACAGGAAACGGTCATTAGGCCAAAGAGCTGCCTGGGCTTTTTATTCTCAGCTCAGGTTTTTTCCTCTATTTGCACCTGGTAGCATTTGTATTGTCCTCCACCCCCAGCCCCTCACTCAGCTCCTGTTAACCCTGCAAGTCAAAGCCCGAATGGGTAGGGAGGTCTTAACTAGACAAGCGGTGGTTCCGATTGCTAGACAGTGCTTTCAATCGCCAAGTTATGCCGTTTTTAGCTGGTTCGACTCTAGCAGTACCCCGACAAACTCTGGGGTCCCCAACATGCGCCTAATACTTTCCGGAATTAAGTGGCTGACCCAGCCAACCACCCCAACCCTGCCCCAAATTGTCAGAAAGTATATTATCTTTTCTGTAAAGAATGATCTGTTTCCACTCCTTCCCACTAAATTCCTTATTTTTTAAATGTAATTCCTTGTTGTGGTACTTACGGTGCAGCCCTGTTATAACAAGATAGTTTGGGGATCTCGCCTGCGGGTAATAATCCCTTTAAAAAAATAATAAATTGGTTGTTCAATCCATGACTGTTTGTGGGACACTTCTGTTCGAAATTGGCTGCCGCGTTTCACCCACAGACTATGCAGTCAATTTTTTTTTACACTGAAGCGCTTTGAGACGTCTCAAAGATGTGATAAGGCGCTGTATCGAATGCAAGGATTATTATTATTATCTACGAATCTTAACCAGCTGTACAACAGGGTGTGATCGCCAGTCAGCCCTCCTGCACTGTAATGTCACTGGTTACTTGACCAATGACTTCACTGCCAATCTGTGCGGAAAACTGGCCCACTGGCCTCATGTGCTATGAAATGGCCAGTCATCAGGTTGCTGCCGATGTCAGGACATGCACATAGCATGTGACGTTAACATTCCAGCGCAGGGCAGGACAACACTGCATTGTTGTTCTGCCCTGCACTGGAATGTCAGGACATTGAAACTGCCAATGCATTTAACCATGTTCGTTGGGATCGACATTAAAGGTATCCTAACACTATATAAATAGAGATGACTGAAAGCACGGTCAAAAAGGTAAATCTTGAGGTGGGCTTTGAAAGTCGAAAGGGAGTGAGGGAGGGGATGAGGAAGAGGGACTCCGGGATGGAGTTCCAGAGTGCAGGGGCAAAATGTCTGAAAGCTCGTTCACCAATGGTGTATATCTGTAGGATGTTGGCCAGGACACTGGGAGAAATTCCTTCCATTCTTTAATATCCATCTGAACATGTCGATGGACGGGTCCTCAGTTTCTCACATCTCACTGAAGGACGGCAGCTTCGACAATGAGGTTCCCATTGGAATCCATATATGTGGGGAGCGCAGAGGGAGAATTCTTTTCCAATCTCTAGTCTCATTAAGACCCAGAATAGTTTCAGCATGCGGTGCCTTTATCCTTTGCTCACGTAATGTGTCTTTCAATCGCCTCCGTAGATCTTCTACTCTCCAAGTGATGAGGACGACAGTGAAGACTCGGAAGGAGAGAATCGGGAACTTGCCCAAATTGACCAAGGTAGCGATGGAAAGTGACTCTTATCAAGCCCTGGCTGCGAGGAGTGGAGGAATGTGGAGTCGAATGTGCGCGAGAGCAAGATAATGATAATAATAATCCTTGCATTTGATATAGTGCCTTATCACACTTCACAGGATATACGGTAAAGTGAATTGACTGTGTATTTTGTGGGCGAAATGCAGCAGCCAATTGCGCACAGCAGCATCCCACAAACAGTCGTGGATTGAATGACCAAATTATCTATTTATTATTATTTTTTTTTGAAGAGATTATTACCCCCAGAAAAGCGATCTGCCAATTGACTAACAACCGCGTTCCTACTTACTGCTAGGTAAACAGAGGCGTGAATCGAACCCAGGTCACTCGCTTGCGAATGCTCTAACCACTGTGCGACAGGACTTCATGGCAGGTGATAGGTTGATGATAGGTTCTGGCTTGATTTGCCCTCTGCCCTTTAAGTTCAGATCTCACACTCCGATCAGTACAGTTTTCTTATAATCCTTAACTCAATTCAGTCTCTCAGTCGTTGTTTACCAGACCCAGCATGGTTTTCAGTCATTCACGTCAAACCAGTTTGTGGCATCTTGCTTTGTGCTAAATGGCTGCTGTGTTTGCCTTCAAAACAGTGGTAATACTTGATGGGACCTTGGTCAACAGTGAAGGACAGTGACTCCAACAATGTAGCTCTTCCCCTCCACTGCACAGCCTGGATTGTGAGTGGAAGTCCCGATGTGGTCTTCATCCCACAATCTACTGATTTAGAGGCCCGGGTGCTCTTAGGATAATTAGCACCAGCGATGATGATATTTAATGCCTACTCTTAATGTAACGCCTTTCCCGTTAGGAGGGCACATCAAAGAGGTTTATAGGGTACTCAAGCTACCCCGTGTGAGGGGCGCTATATAAATGCAAGTTGTTGTTGTATATTGTAAAGTGTAGTGACTGTGTATCTTGTGGGCAAATGCAGCGTCCATTACACACAGCAAGTAGTATCCCACAAACAGCCATGGAGTGAATGACCAACTTTATCAACTGCACAAGAGTGTCACTGCCGAGACTGTGAGTTCTAAGTCCTGATGCGGGGCTCGAACCCACAATCTTCTAGCTCAGGGGCGAGAGTGCTGCCTAACGAGCCAGGCAGCCAATCAAATTAACCCCCCGTGATAATTAACACACTAGATTTTGGGTTGATAAAGTTGCGAACTTCCCTATTTTTTGGGGCCTCTCAATCTTTTGCAGAGAGTCAAAGGGAGGTCTTGGCATCTCCTTGTCAGTGCCTGGGGCCGCTGTGCCAGGCGCTCACCACGTTGGACCCTCTGGACTGGCACAGCTCGGAGGAGGAGCTGGAACACATCAACCGGGAGTTTGGGGGCGAGAAGCGCAAGTGGGCCCAGGTGAACCGACCTGCTCGCCACAGCGACAACACCTCATCCAGTGACGAAGAGGTCAAGGACTTGTGCGCCACGTCCCACAGGATCGGGGGGCGTCTTGAAGCCGTGGCCGACCGGGGTAGCCCTGTGCTATTCAGCGCTTCCCCTCCCACCAGGGCCCCCCATCCCTCGGTGCAGGGCCCTACGGGGCAGACTATACCGGCCACTCCGGGGGTCCAGTCGGAGAAGGCCACCCCCTGCAAGCGACACCGACAGACACAGGGAGACGGCTTCGGCAGACCAAGCCTGGACCTGGAGAAAATGCAGCAGGTAGGCACAGGCCACCCACCCCACCCCACCGCACCCCACCATCGTGAACCTTGGGACCCCCAGCATGTTCTTAGCCTTAAGACCTTCCACCTACAAGTGCACTCACTGCACTTCACTGTAAAATAATAATAATAATCCTTGCATTTGATATAGTGCCTCATCAAATCTTCGAGTCGTCTCACAGCGCTTCAAGAATATATTGTAAAGTGAATTGACTGTATGTTTTTGTTGGCGTATATTTTCGTGGATTGAAGTGACCAGTTTTTTTTTAAGGAATTATTACCCCCGGAAAAACGATGGTGGAATCGACTAACAACTGGGTTCCTACTTGTTGAGTGACCAAAGTATTTATTTTAAAAAACTTTTATTTCCTTTCCTTTAAAATCCTGTAAAGCGTTTTGAGATGTTTTGATGACTTGATGGAGCGCCATATCAAATGTAAATATTATTATTATTATAAGAATTATTTTTAAAATGCAAGGTTGTGTCGAATTTTGGAAATTCTTACACTTTGTTCTAATTTGGAAACTTTTTGGGGGTCACTGCAGAAAACGGTTTGCCTGTCTACATACCCCTAACTACCCTCTATATTAAATACAAGCTTATTATTTATTTCCTCATCCCTATTTCTGATCGGGTCCTTAATTTAAGTTTTGCTTTGTGATTCCAGTTGAGAAAATAAACTCTCTCTCCCTGTCACTGTTTCAAACAAATGTAGAGTTCTTGTCCCACTTTTCTTGGCTTGGATTCCCCTCTGACTTGATATTTATCGCTATTTCAAATGAATTGGCTGCTCATGTCACTGTTGTTTACGGGATAACAAATTTGCTCCTGCGTTTGCCTATATTAGAGTCTTGTAGCCTGTTGGTTAGAGCACTCGCTTCGCGTGCGAGAGGACCTGGGTTTGATTCCCCGGCAGGACAAACATGAGGCAAATTACCTTACTCCACACGTCTCTGTTTACCTAGTAGAAAGTAGGAACCGGTTGTTGGTCGATTGGCGGATCGCTTTTCCGGGGGTAATAATCTCTTCAAAGGTTTTTTTTAAAAAAGTAATAATTTGGTCATCGTGACTGCTTGTAGGACACTGCTGTGCACAATTGGCTGCTGGTTTTGCCCGCAAAATATACAGTCAATTCATATAGTGCCTGTGATAAGATCTGTATCAAATGCAATGATTATTATTATTTATTATCATCACTATTATAAGAAACTGCTTAATGTTGTGGGTGGGTATTCGGGAAGGATGAGATCAAATGGCCTGAAGGGCCTTCTTCATCCTAAGCGCTCAGAGTGAGGTGAAGTTTGAGCTTTACAATCTTGTAGGATTTGGAAGGAAGGAAGGAGCAAAAGTGCTGAGGAGCTCCACAGGTTTGAGATGTGTGAGTTGGAGATGGCGCGATGGGTCTTGATTACATTGCAAAGAGTCGGATGTGTGCGCGGGGCAAGAGCAAAACATTGTAGTGAATTACCGGAGTAACAGAGTTAAGAAGGCAGATATCCGTCCATCAAGCAGACCAGTTACCCGCCTGAGAAAAACTTTGGCGAGAAACGGGGCTTAGATTTTTCTAATCTCTTTGAGCTTCACGTGACTGCACACTGTAGCAGGTCAGCCCGATATACTGAGCAGGGATGGCCAGCCCGATACACTGAGCAGGGATGGCCAGCCCGATACACTGAGCAGGGATGGCCAGCCCGATACACTGAGCAGGAATTGTGTTCGTTGTGATGATGGAGGTTGGGTGGGGGGGGGGTAGGGGGTGGGGGGGTGGAACAAGAAGTAGGAGGTTGGCAATCTCACAGAGCGCATGGATTGGGTTAATGCCTCACACTCAATGGCCCAGAACCCATGAGGTGAGGTTAATGATGTGATACAAACCAGATGATGGCCTGGGTGTCCTTGAACCATATCTGTTGCTGTGTAATTGTACCCAGGTGTCACCTCGGTTGTTCAGGCTGTTTCTAGTGAATAGAACAGATCTTTACCTTATGTATTCCAATTCTGACCGTTGCTTAGACAGGGCCGGCCGGGGGGGAGGGGGCATGAAGTGTGACTTTGTCCAAATACCAAGAGGGACGAGTTTCAAATGAGATAGAGAGATAGGGAAATTAACAGCTAGGATTAATCATTGAAAAGTGTCTTCAAGACCCACATTCAGAGGCAGACACTGAAGCCACAGACACACCATCGCAGGCATGCAAATCACACACAAAGTTACAAGCATACACAGGGGCACATAAATCGCACGCAAACTGCACGGTTACACACACATACACGCGTAGCACATAAAACTGCACCCAGCACACACATACACACAGTGCGCACGCTCACAAACTATAAATGCAGGCGTACATAAAATGTGCACACTCTAACCGAACACATACCTTTGCCTGAAATCTGACACTGAGATGATTTTAGGATAAAATAACTTGATTCTGGTGAATTATCTGCTCATTCTATTTGTTGCAGTAAATGAGTAGGATGTTCCCAGAGACAGAGAGGGCAAACCCTGTTTAACTCCTTACAGACATCTTTCTGACCCAGTGATACTAATGCTATCAAATGGAGTCCTGTAGCTCAGTGGTTAGGGCACTCATCTCGCAATTTCCGGGCAGGGCGAAACATTGCGCAGGTTTCCTTACTCCACACACCTGTTTACCTAGCAGTAACTAGGAACCCGGTTGTTAGTCGATTGGCGGAGGTAATAATTTGGTCACTCGGTTCCACGACTGTTTGTGGGACGCTGCTGTGCGCCGTTGCCTGCTACGTTTCGCACACAGAATATCCAGTCAATTCACTTTGCGGTATGTTCTGTGAAGCGCTTTGAGACGTCTTGAAGACGTGATAAGGCGCTGTATTAAATGCAAGGATTATTATTGAATGAGCCAAGCTGACACTCGTGTAAAGTGAGAGAAGTGTGTGTGTGTGTCTGTGTGTGCATGGAGTGGGGAGAACCGTTTGAATTCTGTTGTGACCAGGCTGAAGTGCGGAGCCCAGGAGATGACTCACTGGTTAGAGCACTCGCCTTGCAAGTGAGAGACCTGGGTTCGACTTCCGGCAGAACAAAACCTTGGGCAAGTTTCCTTACTCCACATGCCTCATAATAATCCCTCAACAAAAAAAAATAATAATTTGGTCACTTCAATCTGTGACTGTTTGTGGAACGCTGCTGTGCGCAATTGGCTGCCACATTTCGCCCGCAAAATACACAGTCAATTCACTTTACAGTATATTCTGTAAAGCACTTTGAGACGACGAGAAGACGTGAAAAGCGCTATATAAAATGCAAGGATTATTATTATTATTGTGATGACATTGGATAGAGCGGCACTGGTTTCACACACTCACAACCACAGCTGCTGCAAGCAAGAGGCACACTGGGAAATGACCCATATAAAAAATGACTAATACTGTGGGGCAGCTAGGGTGGGGGGACATGAAGCAGGTCCCTGAGCGAAGGAACCAGCTTGGTTGATGGGGTTTGAGGAGGTAGCAGGCGTAGGGAGTCACAAACGAACACAGTCTGTACACATACACAATCTGTACACAGAATCATACACACAGATATTTTTCTTCTATCTTCCTGCACCATGGCAGAAAGAGGGCAGCTTTTCCGGGGTAATAATCCCTTCAAAAAAATAATTTTAAAGAAAATATATATTTCGGTCACTCAATCCACGACTGTTTCTGGGACACAGCTGTGCGCAATTGGCTGCCGCATTTCGGCCGCAAAATATACAATCAATTCACTTCATGGTATATTGTGTGAAGCGTTTTGAGACGTCTCGAAGATATTTATCAAATGTAAGATTTATTATTCCATGTTACACTAATAAAACAACAATATCTATCTGCACTTCAAGAAGGATCTCAATAACTGATTGACATAGAGACATAATCTATACCTCATTGGAAAGGTCTTGCTACTGGGAGTGGCATGGGCATATTTGCTTTTGGGTATCGACTATTGTTCATGAAATATGACCTAAAATGTTTTTAAGTTTTGCGTTTTTCGCTGCAGTTACACCTGGTGGCGACCGAGTTAAAGGTGGTGTGTCACAGAGCACCTGCATATATACACACGCATTTATATGCAGTTACACCTGGTGGCTGCGGCGGCTGACAGTGACGCTATGGCGTCCTGCGTTACAGAGCACGCATGTAGCCAAGTGGCAGTGGGAACAAAATAAAGAACACAGACGAAGTTAAGCCGTGACAACAACAACAAAATTACAGTTTTAAAGCCCCTTTCACGTCGGGAGGACGTCTCAGTGATTATACATTATACATTTATATTTACCATTATAATGATGCCTAAGCGAAAATCAAACCTTTCAAGGATAAGTAAAAATGCTAGACAAAAGAGAGAAGGCCCATTTAATGAAACTAAAGAACAAAGAACAGTGCAGCTGCACTTTAATACTGAAAGGACTGCAACAGCACACCAAAGTGAGTTGCCCACTCAAAGAACAGCACGGCCAAATTGAGTCCTCCACAGGAGTCCTCCTAGATGAGTAGAGATAAAGATGAAATATCTGTCTGTGTGTCAATCTACATTACATACTGGAACCTTTGGTTGCAAGTGAAGCTGCAATGGGTACAGCTAGTTATTATTATGAGTGTAGAGGAGATGGATGATGGTTTTATCTCACGGTGGAATTTCAGAGGAATGCCCTGACTTGCCAGCAGACACTCTCATTCTTATTTCTCCTGAAGCCGGGAAATTGGGAAAGAGAGGGAGAGAGAGAGAGATGGAGTGCAAGTGAGAGAAAACCAGAGATCCTGCAGCCAAATCTGCTTATAGGTTCCTTCCTTCCTGTCCAATGCTTTCTTGGCCCAGTCCCAGAAGCACAACGCTGGAGCTTCAGTTTAATTTTACTCCCTCCCCTGCTTGTCGCAGGTAGGAAACATGAGTTTAAAGAGAAAGTGGAATCTTATCACCAGCTATTGCTACACCACAAATGAACAATAATAGCGACACTGAACTGAAAAGGAAATAA